CTTTAGAATTAACGCCCTTACTTATCTAGGGCTAAGTTATTACTTAAAACTTATTAAACTAAGTATTAAGATTCGTAGATCAGGAAACTATAAGAGATAGAAGCCGGATCTAAACGTCTAGTTCCTCTATAATATAAAACTAGGTTACTATAGAGGGCAAGACAGTTAAATACTCCTCGGCTAGTTACTAGCTACTTAAATATAAATTAGATATACAAGATTTATAGTAGTATAACCTTTCTTTTACCTAAGTATTCGATTTTAAAAGAGGATTAGAGAGAAGGGTTTTTAATAAGGTTTTCGTCTTTAATTAACTAAAAGATATTAGAGTTTATATTTATTAGGGTAGCGTAGATAACTATTGTGACAGACGTGCTTCAGGTAGAACTCAGAACAATTAACACTCTATTCTTAGGACAAAAGACGAGGAAAGAAGGAGAGCTCGAGAGAGCTGGGAACTAAATACAGGTCGTGCGCGCTAGCGCCTCGCTAAGCGAGCATGTGACATCCAGCCCTCGTGACCATAACCGTCACATCACCCCCCCCTTTAAAAAGAGCTCGCCCCGAGCGTTGAAAATCTGAACTAATTGTGAAAAATACCCTTTTGCCAGGCATCTGGATGGTCAGGATCGTCCGAATCTACCTCCGCGCTATCGTAAGCATTGTCGTTCATAGCTGCTATTACTACTCTGCCTGGTCTTGCAATCTGCTTTCGTACTGGCTTTGGGAATGCCTCCCCAGCTGGTAGATCCCCCAAATCTATGGCTGATTTCCTTCCTTGTGGTCCTGGTGAGAAAGGACGGAGTATGCAATCGTTGACCCAGTGTTCCAAGGAGCCACATCGTACACACCTGCCTTCAGCTCTATATTGATCTCTACGCTCAGGGGAAATAGAGCGAGCGCGTGGAGGAGAGGATGGGTCGATGGAATTGATGCTAAAAGCATTTATGTCCATTGGTTCGCTGTGGTGGTTGCCAGAGGAGTAGGACTGTGTAGGTTGTGTAGACGAAGAGAAGCGGCCTGCTAATTGTTGTACGACGCGTATGAATGTAGTATAATCGCGAGGTAGGTTGAGTTGTTGAGAAAGTCGTCCGCGAAGAGTAGAATTAAGGCCATTCCTAAAGGTGGAAATTTTGTTGACATCTGGCCAGTCCTGACCTCTTGCTTCGTAAAGGACACGCTCAAACTTGGCGATATATGTAGGGACTGAGTCAGCACCTTGCTTGAGGGCAAATAGCTTGTCTTCCGCCTCCTGTACCTTGTTTGGATTGTCGTACACGCGCGCGAGCTGTTCGAGGATTGTTTGGTAGTCCCAGCTTTGGGTGTCTTCTGCTTGAGAGAGCTGTGGAAGGACCATGGCTTGGACGTGGGAGTCAAGGTTGAGGTAGACGTAGTAGAACTGCGCAATAGCGTCTCCAATAGCTGTACCGTCGACTCGTAGCTTTGCTTTGATTGAGGGAAGCCAGGTGTCGAATTTATGAGCCTGGCCAGTGAATTTGTCAGGGTCTGGGAGGGAAGGTTTAGGCTTTGCGGATGTTCTTGACCGGAGTAAGTGAATCTCGTCGCGCTGTCGCTGGACTTCAGCTTGCAACTCAGCGATGGCGGACTGAACTTGAAGGGCATCCATTGTAGAGAAGTCGAAAAAAGAAGAGGTTTCGTCGTGTTGTAAAGTGTAGGGTTCTTGCGCACAAGAAAGTGGTAGAAATCGTGAGAATTGAGACGTAAGATCGTGGACCTGAACTTGGACGTGAACGTGAACTTAGACCTGGGATACTTAGCCTCAACTAAGGGTCTTTTGTAATGTGACAGACGTGCTTCAGGTAGAACTCAGAACAATTAACACTCTATTCTTAGGACAAAAGACGAGGAAAGAAGGAGAGCTCGAGAGAGCTGGGAACTAAATACAGGTCGTGCGCGCTAGCGCCTCGCTAAGCGAGCATGTGACATCCAGCCCTCGTGACCATAACCGTCACAACTATAATATTAAGCTATAGAATATTAATTATAATTATAGTTATATATATAAATATAATTACTTTATAATAACTTCTACCTTTAACTTAATAGCTTAATAGTAAATCCATACTATAGTATTAATAAGGATCTTCTCTACCACTACTAGAAGTTCAATAAAAACCTCTAAATAGAAGCATAGTAGTACCTTAGTTTACTTAAATAATTTATATAAGAGTTAGTATTATATTATAAAAGTAGTAGATAATACTTAATAGATATTTATTAAAAAGAATTAAGGTTTTCTTACTTATTTATTTACTTTCTATACATTCTAGGTTACGTTATATATATATATTATTAAACTATATAGAGTTACTATAGGAGGTAATAGTAGAACTAGTTTTATTATTTCTTTATATATAACGTCCTTAATATTCTTTATTATATAAGTCTTTTAGGTAGTATAGTACTTATATTCTTTATTTAGTAAGTCTTTTAAAATAGTTCCTACCTTTATATAAATATTATACTAGTGGTTCTAGGAAAGTAATAACTTAAACTTTTAAACCTAGTAGTAAGGATAAAAGAGACCTAAGAAGGAAAAGGTTTAATTTGAATTATAGAAATATTTAATAAGGATCTTAATTCTAAGAGGGGGCTAGTATACACAAGAAAGCTACGATAGCTACTTTAATTTAGTAGGCTAGAAAATATAAGAAGGTTTAGATAAGAGGCTATTATTATAGTAGGAATTAAAAGTAGGTAAATCTATTTAAATTAAGATTATAAAATTAATAATAATAAAGTATTTAGTTGTAATAAAAAGCGGATTCTATAAGCTAACTTAAGATTATAACTTCGAAAAAAAGAGAGCTGTGACGACACGTACGCGTTAGAACCGTCACATTGAGCTATATTTTAATAAGTAATACTAAGTATATAGTCTTAGATCTTTATAATATCTTAGTATTTATATTAAGGTAGATATACTCTCTTAGACTATATTATCTAAAAGGAATCTATACTCTACTTAGTTCTTAGACTCTATAGTAGTATATATATCTTTATTAAGACTTTAACTAGAAGTATAATTACTCTTAAAGTTAAATTATCTAATACTATTAATAATATAAAGTCTAAGATCTAGGTTGAAGAAGGTTAAATTAAGTACTAAAAACGTTAAGACTACTATATTAAAGAGTACTATACTTTAATAAGTAATACTAAATATATTGTCTTTTAGACTTTTCTTTTATAGGAGTAGTAAGTAGAGTAATTCGTAGGAAAGAATATATAATAGAGGGGTAGCGTAAGTAATACTAGGGAGGGTTTTATAAAGAGCTTATTCTATATTTTACTATAAATAGAATAATCTTAAAAGTTTACTATTATTTATACTCTTACTATCGATTTTATAATATTAATTTATAAATATTCTAGTAAGTATATAATTCTACTTAGGTACTTAAAGCTATAGTATTTAATCCTTATATAAGAGCTTATCTAGATACTAGGCTAGATAGCTTAGGGTAGTCTCTAATAGGCGTTTTTTTAAAAGTAGTAGTAAGAGTTATATAAGTCTTAAGGTACTTACTTATAGTTTTATATTATCTACTAGCTATAATATAATTAGTAATCTCTTCCTTCTTATAACTTTAAAAAAGTTCTCTAGTAATATCTAAACAAGTATCCTTATACTTCTACTAAGAGTATTAAAGATCTTAAGATTATAAGTTTAAGGACTACTACTAAGTAATAATAAGTATATAGTTTTAGATCTTTATAAGGGGTCTCTAAGTACTACTAAACATACGATCTTAGATCTTTATAATATCCTAGCGTTATACTATAAGGTAGCCCGCTAGCGATTCTTTAATATTATTTATATATAGGCTATCGAAAACTATTTAATCTTAGGACTAATAACTCTATAGTTACTATAGAATACTATTTAGAAGAAGGCTATCGAATACTATTTAATCTTAGAACTAACTCTATTAAAGGCTATCGAATACTATTTAATCTCTAGACTAATAACTCTATTAAAGCTATTCTCGACTACCTTTACTAGGTTACTAGATAATAAGTATAAGGAGTAATTCGTAGAAGAGGATACTTAATAGAGGGGTAAGGGTAAGTAACGTTAAGAGGAGTTTCGCGGAAGGTATTTATTACTTACTTTTTACTATAAACAGTATTTATAATTTGCTATTAAATATATATTTATTATTAAAATCTCTATACATAATAATACCTACCTTTAGTATATCTAAAATCCTATAATAAACTTAAACGTTTATTATTAATAGTTCTCTTACTATCGAATCTATAATATCTTTTTATAAATACTCTAGTAAGTACGTGTACTCTAGAAGTATAATTCTAGAATATTAAAGTACTTATACTTTAGTAAGTAAATATTACTCTCTTAAATATTAAATTAACTAAATTAACTCTTTCTTTATATAGTAACTTCTCTTATATACTAGGCGTAAGTTAGAGCTTAGGGCTTTAAATCTATTATTTTTTAGAGGATTTATAATAGTAGTATAGTAGGACTAAGTAAAGGAAAGTTGAAAATTCTAAGAGAGTTTTAGAAAAGGAATTAGGAAATTATAGATAATAGAAGTAGTTATAGCTAACGCTATAATAGTAGGAACTCTATAATAAATCGGGTATATATATAAATAAGTATTATCTTTAAAATAAAAGAGTTTAAGAGATTTTAATTTTTTTTAATTTTTTAAAGTTCTCGGAGTACCTAAATCAGGTGGTCGGGAGCACCTGATCTAGGTAGTAGAACACCTGGAACAGGTGCTCCCGTGCTCCCACTAGGCCTCTACAATCACCAGACATCACTAAGCCTCTATATTCCATTCCTACATCTCAGAAAATAGATACTATACATCTACGGAATACTGACAATTCCAACTCCGGTTGCACAACTAGGGTATGGTATGTATCCGCAGCCTAGTAAACCACTCACGTGATTACTCCCTACTAGGTGGGGGGTAGGTATTAGTACCTCGCCTAACCCCCTTCCCCCCTTTTTTACACGCCAAACCCCAGCACAAATCCTTCTACACGCCATCCCCATGTCTCCTCCCTCGTCCCATGTTCTTCACCCCCGTCCAACATCAACGGCCACAAATGAGACAGCCGCCCACTCCACCCTCTCGACCAATCCTACCACCGGCTGCCTTCCTGACCGTGCTGTGGAAAAACAGTTGGAAGATCTCCTCCCACACTGCGCGCCTACTCTATCAAGGCGCTGGGGGTTTCAAAGTCCGCGGTTGCAGGCTCGACCAAACTGCTGGGTTGGAGATCTGCCCGGATTCATCCAGTTACACACCACCAAATTCTCCCTTGAATGTTTCACGGGCCTGGTGGGTGGTCTCGATTTAGGACCGTCGGCGTCTGTTGAGGCTAAACCCCAATCTTTTCCGTGCCTTGTCTACCTTGCACGTCGCGTGGGATGTGTGTGGTTTGGCGCTGCCGCCCCCATCTTCTGGAGATATCATCGCACCCAAACCACTCGATTGACCAGAGACAACACAATCCGATTCCATATAAGTATAGACCACCCAGCCTTCTTTTCTTTCTCCCCAGATATCCAGTCAGCTCTTTCATTCGTCTTTCCTCTCGTCCATTCGATTTTCATCTTTATACCCCACTCGATGCGATTTCCTTGATCAAGATTTCAGATTATTTCCTATCAATTCGGTCTCATCTCTTCTTTCAAGCTACTTTTCATACGTTTGATACGCAGTCTACCCCTCCAGGAGAGGCGTCTAATTCTTGTTAACATCTTTCTTCTCTTCAACTCTCAACCACTCACTCCGTCTCCACTCTCATCCTTACACCACACATACATCCATCTCTTCAACACTCTTCTCTCATCCACACACCCAACTACATACCACCTCACTCAATACACCCCTTCATCTCCCACTCAACACTTAATCAACCCACCTCCCCACCTTCACAATGCCCAGAGGCGACATCAGACACACTCGCCTCAACAGCAACTCAGGAGGCTACTACCTCCAAAGCCCCCCCTCAACACAACCCTACTCCGACCCACGACTCCAAGACACCTCAAGCTACTACACCTCCCTCCCCATGACCAGCATGTCCCAAAGCCCCTACTCCCAAACCACCCACCAAGCCCAAACCCTCTACACCATGGCACCCCAAGTTCAAGCCCCTCCCCCCGCCGTGCAAGCACCCTACTCCAGACGTTCCTCCACCGGCGCCTGGTCCCCAGCCGACGACCAGACGCTCATGCAAGCCCGCCAAGCAAACATGAACTGGGGGCCCATAAAAACCATGTACTTCCCCTCCAAGACGCCCAATGCGTGTCGCAAGCGCCACGAGCGGTTGATGGAGAAGCGCAATGTGGATGAGTGGGATCATTTGAAGTTGGAGAACGTAGCGAAGAACTACATGGCGATGCGGAAGGAGATCTGGGCGGGGTTGGCCGAAGCGACGGGGGAGAAATGGACGGTTGTTGAGCAGAAGGTTGTTTTTCCCCTTTTCCCTTTCACCCCTCACCCCCATTGTATAAAACCCCAAACTAACAAAAAAACAGTGCATGACCCAAGGCCTCAAAAACATCCAACAAGCCGCCCGTTCCTCCGCACGCCGCGAACGCCTGCAAGTCTCCCCCTCCTACGCACCCTACTCCTCGTCCTCCTCATCCTCCTACCACCCCGACCACGCGGACGAGTTCGAAGACGTGCCCGATTACAACGACGGCTCGTCGGATCGCTCGTCGGGGTACGGACACGGCTACTCGAACTCGGGCAGCTCGAGTTATGATGTGAGTGCTGGACGGAGGGGGGAGCGGGTGGAGAGGGTATCGAGCTTGGATATGGGGATTGATGCTATTATTAATCCGCCTAGACAGTGAGTATCTTTTTGGGGGTTTTTGGTGGGGGTTGGTTTTGATGGGGGTTTGGTGGTACTATTTATTCCCTTTTTGGGGGAGCAAGGGGGTTTACAGTGAGTAGTATGGGATCAATCTAAGGAGTGAGTGAGTTAGTGAGTTAGTGCGTTGTTTGAGTTGGGTGGTCAGAATTTGGGATGGGCGTTCGAGGTGTTTCTGTGGCAATATGGTGTGTTTGGTTTCACTACATTAAAAAACGGTCATTAATATTTATATTGGGATTCTACAGTACAGGACAGAAAGAGAAGGAGAAAATCAAGATAAAATCAAGAATCCAAATCCATTACTACAGTACATTCCAAGAGCGTATTGAGACGATCTTGGGAGTGATAACAAAAAGAGCGGGATGGGGCGGAAAGAGAGCAATAAATATGATTTACGAATGTTTGTTCATAGAATAATTTCCTTACCGTGTTTTCAAGTTCCAATCCTGTAGATTATACATTGAGCTTCCCATTCCGTACTACAAAATAGGTAAAAAGTTTAGTACTAAGTAAGACCCCCCAAAATCACATTTACAACGAACGCCATATTCCTACAGACTTCTTCTCCTTAATTCTAGACCTGAATTGCGACCCATCCATTCATTCATCCATCCCACCCATGCCATGCATATGCAAACGTACAGTACAAGGTAACGAAATAGCATACGAAGATAATACGAGAGAGAGAACGGGACTTACAACGTGTCTTTCTTTACATTTGCCTCAGTCGTATAGATACCTACACTCGGTCTCACCTCACCGGCTGGAACCTGCAGGCAGTGCCATTGCCATGGCCGTCCTCGCTTGCGAACCGGGTACTTTCTGACTAGCACTCAACTCCGCCTCCTCCTCATCCTCCTCCAGCCACTCCTCATCCTCATCAAAATCCGGCTCACCAACCACAGCCCGCCAAACTCGCTGCCACATGCCCTTCTTTTCGACCATCGCCAAGATCATAACTACTGGTAGATGCCACACACTTGCCCAGAAAAGACCCTTTGCACTGCCTTTCTGGCCCTCGAGTTTCCAAAACCTGACGGCTTCGCGGATGAGCCAGACGTTGATGGGTGTGCTGGCTACGGCAAAGGACCATTCCGTGATGTTGTAATAGCAAAGTCCGATGCAGATGGGGATGAATGCTAGGCTGTATCGTAAGGCGACTCGGCCGTTACGAGCGGGGTTTACCCAACATAACATTCTATACCCCGCATTTTTATACTCCTCGCGAATCGACCATGAAAGTGACATGAAATGTGGAAATTGCCATGCGACTAATAGACCTGCCAGTAACCACCCACCTGAATTCTCAACACCCAGTAAGAGTTCCTTCCAGTCACCTGCTTCGGTGGCAGATTGCCCCGCTGCAGCGGCCCACCCCATCAACGGGGGAATCCCACCAACAACGGCCCCAACCCAGGTGTTGATGACGGAAACCCGTTTCATGGGTGTATATACACCGGCGTAGAGGATGATATTCATGGCCCCGAGAAACGACACCGTAGGGTTTACACCGAAATACAATGCCGTCGTCCCCACCAACCCACTCAGAAGAGCAAATGCTGCAGCACCCCTTGTAGAGATCAACTTCCGTACTAACGGTCTGTTCCGCGTTCGAGTCATCATAGCGTCCCATTTGGGCTCGTAGAGCATGTTGAAAGCGTTGGCGGAGGCGGCGCATAGGGTGGTACCTGTTGTGAGGAAGAAGAGGGTGAGAGTCGAGAGGGAGGGCGTGTCTGTTAATGAGGGGGACAGCATTTCGGGGACGGGGTAGAGGGAGTAAGTTGCGCATGCGGTCAGGACGACGAGAACGGAGAGTCGTGGTTTCGAGAGGGAGAGGAGGATGGGAATGAGTCTTCGGAGAGAGTTGACTGGAGCGGCGGCGGCGGTTTCGGTGAGGGTTGAGGAGGTGTTGGCTGGGAGAACTAGATCAGCTTGTGCTGAAGCTTCGGCGGCGCGTTTGGTGGCCTGTCTTTTGCGGTGGGGGAGTATTTCTGGTGATTCTGGAGTTGATGGAGGGGTGGTTTGACTCGATTTCAAGGTTGTATTTCCGCTTGCGATTGAATTCGCATCTTGTATTGATATTGTGATGGCGCCCCTCCTCACCCCGGATCTCGTACTCTCCAACAATCCATTTTCAAAGAAATAATCGCTTCTTGATCGTGGTGTTTTGCCTGCAATGGCAGCTTTCAGGATTGAAGCCCTCGAAAAAGCTCTCGCTATAGAGCGCGGGGAGAGTGCGGGCGTCTGTCGTAGACGCAGACCCAGACATGATGAACATACGGCAGTGAGGCCATTGGAAAGAAGGGCACTCTTGGCGGGATACCGTATAATCATTGCTTGTCGTTGTGGGTTGCCCGATTCATCTTAAAAGTTTTGGTGTTGAAGCTTCCGATATCATAATTCCGTAGCGGCATCTGCCAGGGTCTTTTTGACCAATCAGATGCACCATATTTCAGACCCGTATTTATTTATATTGTCACTTTGGACATGAAGCCGTTTCCATCTGAACTTCTCTCCTCTCTCACCCACAACAGTATATCTATCCTTAACGCTCACATAATCCAGCTCCGGCAAATCTTCTCTTTCGCAAGTGCTTGCAAGTTGTTGACGATTACTCATCTCTTTCCTCTTCAATCGGTATTTACCGAGGCTACAGAATTATTATTAAAAGTCTTTCCTCTCCCCCATTCCAACACGCTCGAAACTCGAAATTAGGATTGGAAATTGAAAATTGCGAAATATTACATCCGAATTTCGATACCAAGATTCCTCCGTTCATTCTTCGTCTCATTTTTGTTGGTGGCTGGAATCACTGGCATTTTCATTACATTCCTTTCACGATTGAGAATTTTAGCCATTAATTTTCATCTACTCGGTATTGTACAGTAGACTGTTCTAGACATTTGAAATTCCTCACAATTCTTTCATTGGGATGTTTGACTTGCTGCACTTTCTCGATGTAATATAGCGGCAATTCTTAATTTCGTCTTGCGGACTCTTGCCTTCCAAACGAGTGTAAAATCGGATGAGGGATGACATAATTATTAGTCTCACAGAATATAGATCAACGCCCTTTGCAATGAATGGTACAGCAGCGCTGAGTAAAGTGCAACCGACCTCTCTGCTGAGTGAACATAGCATCGGAACGGTCACGTTCATATGCTCCTTCTCCACTTAGTATAGCAACTTCCTTGGAAAAGCCTATCAAAATGCATCAATTGAGCCATCATCAAGAGGTTTACCGAGGTTGAAATGTTTACTCATCTCATGCTGTGTCGTCGGCGATACGATTTATCTAAATGTAAAGTAATCATTCACAGGTTTCGAAGGTCCTCGCTTACCTCTATTACCAAGCCACCTGAACTAATGTAGGTTTTGAACTATATCTTTCTCGTTGTGCCACTGTGACGATGTGTTTTCTGTATTCAAGTCACGCAACAACTTTGTATTGTTCAAGTTCGACTTCGTGTTGAGTATCATATCAGTATGGCTCAAGGCCAGGAGGAGGTGCTACAAGCACATCACGTTGACGGGGAAGCCGCTATCTCGCTTAAGAGTGAAGATAATGGAGACGGAGTCAATACACCAAGTGTGAACAGCGATAACTCCAAAACGGAGGATGTAGTCCTTGACTGGGAATCCCCCGATGATCCAGAGAACCCCCACAACTGGCCATTATGGAAGAAGATTTACCACACTGCTATCCCAGCTTTCTATGGTTTCATCATGTAAGGTCCATCTTTCTGTACACCACGATCTCGCTAATTTCTTCATAGCACAATGGCAACTTCAGCATACGTACCCGCAATCCCACTAGTAATGAAAGCCTTTGACGTCTCACGAGAGATCGCCGTCTTACCATTATCACTCTACACATTCGGTTTCGTTCTCGGTCCCATCATCGCCGGTCCCCTATCAGAGCTGTATGGTCGACGCATCATATATTGGACCTCCTTACCACTCCTCATGACCTTCACCGCAATATCCGGTGCTTCCAAGAACATCACACAGCTCGTCGTCAACCGCTTAATCGCTGGTATCGTAGGTTCTGGGGCTCTAGCCGTTGGAGCTGGGACGGTAGCAGATTCCTGGTCTCCCAGAGCCAACGGTCGAGCGGCATTAGGCTTTATCCTCGCGCCTTTCCTTGGTCCGGCATTGGGTCCTATTGCTGGTGCGTATATCATAGCTGAATATGACCAGAACTGGAGATGGTCACAATGGGTTGTCCTCATCATCGCAGCACCCGTCCTCCTCCTAGCAGCCTTCATGTCCGAAACATCCAAACACCGCATCCTCACTCTGCGTTACCAAAAGTCCTTAGGCAAGGAAACCACCCACCAAACAGGCGACACCCATCTCCTCGTCGTCAAACTCCGCCAAGCAATCATCCGACCTATCCACATGATGTTCCTCGAGCCGCTCGTAGCCTGTCTAAGCATCTACACCGGCTTCGCCTTCGGGATGATATTCTCCTTCTTCGGCTCTTACACCTTCGTCTTCTCGTCCATCTACCACTTCTCCGCGCGCGAAACGGGCCTCGCGTTCCTGGGGATTCTCGTAGGTGTCCTGCTCGGTGCACTAGCATTCATCGTCTTCGACGCGACGCTCTATACCCGCGCGACTCTCGCAGCAGGCACTAAGCCAGCGCCCGAACATAGACTCTACGCTGCGATGCTGGGCTCGACTATGCTCCCCATCTCGCTCTTCTGGTTTGCTTTCGCGCCGAATAGGGATGTACATTGGATTGTCCCTGTGCTGGCGGGTGTCCCGTTTGGTGTTGGGAATACGACGATTTTCATTAGTGTTACGACGTATTTGTTGGATGTTTACCAGGCGAAGAATGGCGCGAGTGCGTTGGCTGCGAATGGGATTTTGAGGTATACCTTTGGAGCGGTGTTCCCGCTTTTTACGGTGCAGATGTATTGTGCGATGGGTGTCAAGGGTGCCGGAAGTGTTTTTGCGGGGGTTAGTTGTTTGTTGATGCCCTTGCCTTGGGTGTTTTGGTTGTGGGGGAAGAGGTTGAGGGAGAGGAGTCGGTATGATACTTTTAAGGGGTAGTGTCGGCTTGATAAAAAGAAGTTATGAGTTGATGATAATTAGTGCGGTGTTCTTTTGTCGTAGGGACTCGTTGGGTACTTGGGTCTTTTGTGGATGTTTATGGCATAGCGAAGGGAGTTCTTTGCGTTTTGGGCTGCATTGATAGATAGGGTTTGTCGTTTCCTCAGTATGAAAAGAATCATGCCTCTCTCATCCTAGTGTGAAAAATGCTTGTTCCTTTGAAATCCCCTCTCGTTTAGTAGCATCATTCTCCCGTCGTTATTTCAAGGGGAGTTTTCTTTGCGAAAACCAACCGGCCATTTGACACCGGATCAGTAATTCAGATTTCTCATCTCAAACCCGCTAAATCGTACAGTACCCCCTGCATATCACTCCATATTTGAAGCTGTCCTCTCCCGATATTACTACATGAATGTAAGACGTAGCGTGAATTTTCCACTATTGGTCCACGATCGATACACTCGGGTAATTTTGAAGGAACTACCAGTTACCTGTAAATGACATTAGACACATCACTAATCAACCGCTTTCTGATAAATTGAGTCAATCGAAGAAAAAAGGACTCTGTCTGTGATGGAGATGGTAAACACTTCGTGCTTAACTTTGTAGGTCATCGAGTTGAAAGTATATATAAGACTATAGAGTTCAAGTGAAGAGGTCGTTCATTCTAGTATCCAATCTAGTATTAATTTTTTCTCAGTGTATATGCACTTACATTGTCGTTTGTAAGCCGTAGGTTTTAGTCGATATCCATGATTTTTTGGTTGAAAATTGGCCAATGCAAATACCTACGGCTAAAACATGCGAGATCACGTGCTTCGATCTTGTTTGCAAATCCCCAGGCTAGGGGATCTATTCACAGAAGCTCAACTCGGATATCTCGGTTCGCAGTGTCAAATCCCTTCCTGGGCGCTTCTAAATCACTGATGCTAAGAGAAAATGGATTCCAAGGTTGCCTATACTTCCGGAAATACGGTAAAACGTGACGTGGGAGCTGAAAAACAAGCAATTCGGCACGGTCGGTTCGGGGAGATTACTTTACGTAGTGAGCGAAACATCGTCATTGCGAAGTTAATGATCACGAAACACAATTCTCATCAATGAGTTCATCGTGATATACCATTCTTCGTCACCGAACTTATAACAGATATATATATCTCATCAATACCCAAACCTGAAGTGGAAACTCTCATCTCACGCCCTCTCTCAAAATGGCCGACCCCAAACCTCGCAAACTCAGCCTCACATCCCGTCTACTATCCTCCCTCAAATCAAAAAAGTCCCCCAACAAAAACAGAAATCCATCATGGGCCTCCTCCTCAGACGTAGGTTCTGAGATAGGACCCCTGTCCGCAAACTCAATCACCAGCGGCATCTCCAAGATGAGCTTCGGCGATGAAGAGGAAGTTTTCATCGATATCCAAACTGGGGAACGACGTGATGATACCGAAATGTTGCATAGTCTTGCTCATCACGGGTCTTTTGGTTCCTTGAAATCCGAGAATGAGCAGAGATTTGGGGAGGATTCCATCCCTGGGGAGAGGTTGTTTGAAAGCTTGCCGGAAGGGGTTTGGGGCTGTGTTATCGGGTACTTGGGGATGAGTGATTTGGCGGCTTTTGCTTTTTGTTGTAAAACTTTTAGAGGGAGGCTTGGGAGGGAGGTATGGCCGATTCTGAATAAGCCGGAGAATCGAGACGAGAAGCTTCAATTTTTGGTTAAGCTGGATAGCTCGTTACCGAGTCATCTCTTATGTCCGCTTTGCGCAATATATCATCGACGAACCCGAATAGGAGATGAGAAATTGAAAGCGACTCATGTTCTCAACCCAATATTCAACTGTCTCTACGCCAATGAACCGACCGAACTCCCCATCAGAACTCGTCTTGTGCCCGGCCATAGACTCCCCTTTACATTCGTCCAACTCGCTCTCCGAGCCCTCAACTACGGCCCTCAATACGGAATCCCTTACTCCAAACTGGACCGCCGTCTAAAAGATAAAGAGAGCGATTGGACCCATCAAATCAGATACTACCACCACAAAGGCCATCTCCTCCTTCGATCCACCAGTAAAACCTTTGCTTCCCCAGGTTTAACATTGAGTGGCCAGCGACACCTCCTCTATTCACGAGAAGACTACACACCCTACTTCTCAGTCTGCGCACACTGGCAGAACGGCCTCCTCATGGATCTTTGCAAATGCGCACTCTCACACATCCCCGTCCCCGTCGACCCGATAACCAGCCAACTCAAACGCGGCCCCCAAATCACACTCTCGCGGCCTGCAAAAGCGATCGTGACGCTTTGCGGGAAATGTAGACCTATGCGTCGCTGTCCGTCCTGTCCTACGGAGTATCTCATTGAAATCAGATTGGATGAGGACAGGAGTGAACCAAATCCCGTGGCGCGGTTCAAGCAGACGATTGTGGTGACGAGGTGGAGTGACCTGGGTGATGGGACGATCCCGATGGGGAGTAGGGAGTGGATGGCCATCAATGGCGTGGGCGAGTTTGAGGGGTTGGATAGTGTGGGGAAGAGGGGGATTAGTGGGACTTTTGAGAGTCAGAATGGGGTTGCTATTCCTGGGCAGAGGATGTTGAATTTGAATCCTAAGAACAAGACTGATGGAGAGGAGGGAGATGATTGGTATTGAGGTTATGGATGGCACTTCTGGATCAAGAAATTTGGAGGCCGTTGAGCGAGACTATCGGGATAGCGGCGCCAATTCTGGGCGTCATTAATCGCCTGAGAAGACTGTTTCATACGTCTCCAATATGCCTTAAATGGGACGCAATTGCACGAAATTGCCAGTAATAGTAATCAAGCACTGTATTGGAATATCTTCACTGATAAGTATTTAAGTAGCCATGATTTAAATTGAGCTAAACTCATCTTTGCAAGCTCCTGAGTTCCTAAGTTGGAACTATCCACATCATGTCTTCGACATCATATCTTGGACATATATATTTTAGGCCGCTGCCTTACTCCATACCACTCTAATGCAGATTCCAAAAAAGCAGCACGCCATACTCAAAGCAAGGGCCTTCCAAACCAAACACAAAAGCAACAAAAAATGCTCCACTGGAAGACGGATGGGAATCGACAGCAAATCTACTTTTGACAGTAAACGTCTAGTGTGTATCCTATTTCGGCTATTTTCCTAACCCAAGGCTCAAAGCGTTGTCTGATAACTTCTTCATTTTTCACGTCATGTGTTTTGGTATACAGTATGACTAACATCAGACTTTAATACTCTCAGCCATATCAGCAGCATAGTTCGCCTCCGACTTTGTGTGCTGTGCTGATAGAAAACTGTGGTCCTATCCAGGAACGTTGGTTTAAATAGTCCGCCCACCAACCATTTTCAGAGTTCTCACAGAGGTTCGTACGATTTACTTGTTTCTTGGTTCGCTGGATAACAAAGATGGCCTGCCAGACTTGACCTGACCAGGGTACCTGACTTTAAGAAAGATATGTATGGGATTCAAGAGATTGGTAACGGCCTTGGAGTTCTTATGCGAGCAGTTTCGTGCCCTCTTACGGTATCATTTAGGTCTATCTAATAAGAATATTAGTAACAGTAATAAAGAAGAAAGATAAATTATCTACTCTATTAGGTATTACGATCTTTAGTTTAAGTCACGCTTATTATCATAAGCTCGTCTGTGATAGTAAGCTCCTTTAATCTGAAAACTCATTTCATATCTTGGATCTGGGTATAAATAGACCACCTCATCACACAATTATCATGCAATGAAAACAAATGTTATACAAACTTCATTGTATGGTCCAGCGTCTCCCTCTAGCTTCGTGCTGCTTTGATTACATACCTAACTTTGTAGAGCCACATCCTATTTGCGGTACGAAAAAAGGCTTAGATAAAGCGTAATGAATTGCCCAAAAGTTGTAGCATGAAAGTACGCAGTAGAATCGACAGAAGATAGACTTTCGACGGTAGATGTCAACCTTTTCTCTCAACTTAGTCTACTATTAACTTCCATAGAGATCTTTTAGCGTTTGCTTAATTCTTTCTCCACTTGTTCCCATATCTTTGTTTACGTGAGGTGGTAAGATTACTAGCCGTGTCACCGAAAGCTGCCACAATAAATCCTTAGCTTCTTAATAGTAACGGTGGTGATCTTTTTTGTTTAAGGATTACTAGAAGTTTTTGTAGTTGTCTCCGCATACGCTAAGATTTCTTAGATGGTTTGTGTTTCTCTTTTTCTTAGTAGGTAAGATAGTAAGAAAGGGAAGAAGTCAACCTAAACCCGGCTTTCTGAAATACCTCTATACGTTATCTATAGTTCACTTAAGGAATTAGTGGTTTTAAGTTGTCATACTACAAATATATATTTTAGAATTCTATCCGCAGCCTTACACTTAAAAATACAAGGAGAATAAACAGAGCAGGTTAATATAATAACTATCTAGGGAAATGGGCGGGGTACCATACAAGAAGCTAAGATCTACTTGCTCTTGATTTAATTGTAACTAAGTTCATAGGATATTATAATAGCTACTCAGCCGAAAACCTCTACCTATCAGAATTTATATCGTAAAAATAGAGTACCCATTGTAAGTAGAGCTAAAAATGTACACCACAGAAAGCTCATGTTTTCAAAGTACGCACTAAATTGATACCACTATTCCAAACCACACAACTTTTTCGAGGAAAACTTTTCTTCCAATTCCATCAATCCCGCTCAACCAAACGATAGCAGCTAGAATTTCAACCACT